CCTCGGTCCCTCCTTCCCCCAAACCCCCTCATACATCCATCCACTCCATCCCTTCCACCCTTATTCCTATCTCCCAAACCCATTCTCAGGCGTACATCCCGCACACCCACTGATCTTCCCATTGATAACATTAAAGGTGCCGCCATCGCCCGTGTTGCAACCTGCAGTAAAGGTACGAAGTCAGTGTATGTCTCGCATGCACTTCGTACAGTCAAAACTTACCAATGACGTCTGGATCGTTTGATGCTGTGCAGAAAGTCCCCTTGGGGACTCTGACGCCGGGGTCGACCGGGGTGCCGGGTGCGGGGGTGGATCCGCGTTGTGGTTGTGGTGTTGGGGAAGCGATGATGGCGGCCGCAAGGGCGAAGACTGTGAGGAGGGAGGTTGATCGCATGATGGTTGGGGGTGTTTGGTGGAAGGATGAACTGGTAATGTGCTTTTGACTTTTGGGGTTGGGTGTGTGTGTGAAGAGGATAGAGGAGATGATAGTAGTTGTGGTGATGATACCTCTTCGCTGTGGACAAAGCCGACCTATATATGCGCTGCCAGCCCTACAAAGAAATCCTCCTGGTCGTTTACACCCCAGCATCACCTCCCAAACGTCGCATCATACCACCTCGCTAGTCCAAAGGTAGAAAACACGATCACACGAACAAATCGCCATGTTGGGCATAATGTCCGTGGTCCGCTCTCTTTCTCACTTTGCGCGTTTCAGTCTACGATGTTTCGGGGCATAGAGACTTGGCTCTACTGTGCACAAGTCTGTGCACATGCCCAGTTACAGTAACACTGTAGATTAGGCTAATATCGGTAGAGTGATGCCGTATGGGTTCGTATTGCTATTTTCCCGGGGTACTGCCGTGGTGAGTTGCACAGCTCCCGAAGCTTTCACATTCTGCCAACACAACGGTATAATGCCAAAAGTTTCCTAGATTGATACATACGACCATAGGATCATGAAAATTAGGCTTCCCGTCCGCTCAGCCATATACAAGCATGATACCGGCGGATTAGTAGTTAGGTGGGTGACCACTAGCGAATCCCCGCTGTTGTATGTTTTTGCCTTCTTTTTTGCCGTTTTTTGGTGACCAGGCTGGGAGAAGGCGTGGGTGTGAAAAGGAAAGAGAGAGTGCGGGGGTCGACAAGGGTGATGGTGGTGTGGCATGTTATGTGGGAGAAGCTAAGAGCTGTGTGTGTGTTGACACGTCATGATTTCATTTTACTCTTCAGATTGTCAGTGAGTCGATCGTAGTAGAATCTGTGGTAGAAGAGTGTCGTATGAGACTCAGCTCCAGTCCCGTTCCTTTTTGCACACTCTCTGGGTATACCAGTGACACCTATCCCAATCTCTCACACCCATCATCTTTGTCCTCGTCTTCCGATCCGAAAGCCCTAGCCCCAGCCGCCTCATGAGCAGCGCACTGAACGCATTAGCTCACATGTCGACAACATCGAGACTCGATAGCCGCCAGCAGTGGAAGACTTACCCAGACGAGAACCCCTTCAGGGATCCTGACCAATGCTCAACTTGATAGACACATCCAGACCGACAGAAAAGCAGGTCTTGTCGCCGTAGATCGGGAGGAGAGTAAAGCTGCCGCCGCAGTCGGGCTTGGGGTAGGTGTTCACTACCACAACCAACGTTAGCTAAATTCATCCCATCGAACTCACTTCAGTTAAGAGTAAGAAGAACGTAAACATACGAGCGTTATACTTGATATCCCCATCCTTACCCACAACCCTGATACTCTTCACCCCATCAGAAAGCCCATAGCAGACATTTGGATCAACCCAGAGGAACTCGTAGGCGCCGCCGCATTCGGCTTCTTTGAAGGTTTGGGCGCGGACTTGGGTTTGGACGCTGGGGTCTGCGGTGGTGGTGGGACTGGGTGTGGGCGTGGCGCTGGTCGCGGCGCTTCCCAAGAGGGCGCATAGGAGAATAGTGGTGAACATGGCGGCGAACATGTTGGTGGTGAGATTTTTGGCGGGGATTCGTGAGTTGGAGTCGTGGGTGCGAAGAGGGAAGGTGGTGTTGGTGTGGTGTGTGAGATGGCTTGGTTTGGTTGGTTTGGTGAGTGGGTGAAGTGAGTGATTGATGTGCGTGAGATGATTTGGCGCGGTGTGTGAGTGAAGTGAGAGTGAGTGAGTGAGTCTGGTTTGTTCTGCTTCAACAACCCGAATAGCATTGACGAAGGAGGGAGAAAAGGATAAAGGGCGAGCGAGCTGTATATAACGCCCGCTAGCCGTCCTCGAAAGCTGAGCAAGTTACGTGGTTATCTGATGCAAACGCACTGAGGTGAAAGGATCCGGGGAGGCGACGCCCGACCGCGCGTCCTTAGGCGAAGACACTCGGTGAGGCAGTCGCGGCCCTGGATGCGGGGTCAAGATCGTGGGGAAGTCGCATTTGCGGTGAGGGCGCGGAAGGTGCGATTGGCTGGTACTCAAGGTACAAACGTACGGTAGGAGGGATGTGGATCACTGGCGTTGTGGTAATTGGAGTGACGATAATCAGCGGCATGGGTTTACTAAGAGTGTAAGAGTGAGATTTGTCTAGCCGGCGGCGGTGAAAGTGATGTTGAAGGAAGGGAGTGGGGAAGAGATGAAGTGAGGTGAGTGGGGAGATTGGGTCACAGTCACACAGTGGTGAGATTGTGTCTCGCGGACGGATAGCGGCAGGAGCGCTGAGCAACATGGAATAGATAGGTCAAGAGTTGTTACACGGAAGTGCTGAACACAGGGTAACATGAGATATGGGTAGCAGGTACATGGCGCAAGTCCTGGAGGTAACAAGAAGATCGATAGCATCGTTTGTGGATATCTCATCACCTTCCATCATACCTACCACCTCATTCATTAACAGGCTTCGCCCCCAACATCCACCCAATCCCACTAGCCAGCGCCCCCGTCGCAGCATTAGCCACCATATCCCTCCTCCTCACCCTTTCCTGCGCATCGATACTGCCCGTCTCACTGCCATCCATACTAACCCTGCCAGACCGCGGTTCCGTACCGTGCGCAACCTGCATACTCCCACTACTACTCCTGAGCGGAAACGCCGTCTTCGAAAACGCGGCCGCAGCACCCCTCGCCACATCAAACAACCCCATTGGCGATTCTTCTACAGCGCCGCGCCCCACTTCCCTTCGCTGCGGCTGCACGGTGATGGAGTCGAGGTCGAAAGCGCCGGGCAGTTTGCGGTCGGCGGCGTCGTTGAAACGTTCTTCGGCTTCGGTTTCTTGGGCGAGGAGGTGCATCATTTCGGCTTCGCATTGCTGCCATACGCCGAGGACTTCCTCGAGGTGGTTGGGTGGGGCTAGCAGAAGGGCCTGCGAGAGGAGTTCCATGCGTTGTTCTAGGCGGCGGAGGTCGGGGCGTGCGGCGTTGCTGGCTTGGGTCCAGGAGGTGGATGACGAGAGAGAGGTGTTGTGACGGCCGGCGCGGAGGGCGGCTCGCCAGGCTACGTCTTCGGCGTCGTCGGAGTGGTCTTCTGTTTCTGTGGTTCCGAAGGAGAAGAAGTTTGAGGAGGTTGGTGGCGTTGGCGACGGTGTTGAGGGGGCTAGTCGATTGACCACGTATGAGTAGGCTGTCTCAAAGTCGTCTTCTTCCAATGCAGCCTCGACAGCCATGCCAATCACTCGTTGCTCCGCCGCGGATTTCTTCCGCTCGATCGTGGCGGCGTCCGTTGGCACGTTTCCTGCTTCCTCGTCCATGATGGTTGAGGGCATGGCGACTACCAAGTTCTGGCCGATCGAAACCAGATCGTCGAGCTTGGTGTAGCTACCACTATTTTGCGATAGCAGCTTGTGCACCAACGACAGCGGATTGTGGCTCACTCGAATATTAACCGGCTGGAAAGGAACGCCATGCTGGAGTATGAGCGAGTAGAATGACATGGCGTGTGTTGCTGTGAGCAGTGCTTGGAACCGACGGAATCGCGACGAGGAAGAGAAGTGGGGAGTGAAAGCATTGATAATATCAGCCGCACGCTTCATGCCACCCCTGTTGCGATTACCGTTGCTTGCGTTGTCGTAGTGGTGCATGGCAGAGGATAGCACGACTTGTTCCACATCCGAGGAGAGCAGCGGCTGCTCGCCAAATCCTGGTTTGATGTACAGGTCTATCGCGAGGGGAAAGTGGTTGCTTTCCAAAAGAGCCTTTAGTACCTCCGTTTCCAGCGTCTTCCGTTCTAGCAAACCAAAGACACCTTGGGCTTTTCGGTCGTCGTCGTGGTAGTCGGTACCCCAGTTCCAAAGCCACAGCAACTTTGACCGAATAGTGGCCCATTGTTCGCTGTCTTTCTTGGAGCCGCTGTTCAGTGTGTGCAGTATCTTTTGGAGTAATGATAGCTGTTCGGCGTAGTCGTCCCGCAGAGACATTTTCGCAATCTCCCGGATAGATACTGGTTGTTGCAAGGTCGATAGGACACACGATGAGAAAATGATGAGCTCAATGTTGCGAAACGCTTCAGCGCCAGGCTGTGTGATGACATTGTCGGAATCCAGTAGACGATCTTCTCTCAGTAGAGCAGTAGTCGAGTCCTGGAGCAGAGGATCCTTCAGGTCGTAGCTGGGTAATAGCGCGACACCGATACTGAGGTCTGGAGGAGGGTCGTAGTTCAGGAGCGTGCATATCCTCGTCAAAAGGGAATGCGCGGTCTGTAACGACGCGATATCGCTCTTATCGACCAGGTAGAGACATGCGAGCGCCGTGCGTGCATACTTCATCTCCAGCTGCCGCTGTTGTTGGTCATCGACGTAGTCTCGTCCTTCTTCGTAGCCACCAAGGTCCATATCCTCAGGGCCATCCCAGTCGGAGATGGCTGCCGTGACAAGCGCCAAGTGCTCCTTCGATGCATGTAGCAGCCATTGGAACAGACAATCCCAGTCGTCTGGTTCCCGTGCTTGATCCTGGGCGATCGACGCTCTCCGACCTTCGTGTGTGATCTTCCGCCTCTTGCGATCGTTCGCTCCACATAGCCATGGGGCGACTACGCCCTTCAGATCCCGTGCCGCGTTGTGGGTATTTGCATCGGTCGCGCTTCGAGCGTGGGAGAGCTGGTAGTCGATGGCACGTCGCCCTTTGAGTGCCGCAAATTCGTCGAGCGTGGTCGCAGTTGATTGAGGGTAGTACTCGTAGCTGAGCCGCAGGAGAGGGAGGACGGTCGATATGAACCACGTGCGTAGGTATTCGGAGTGGCCCAGGAAGGGAACCACCAGCTGAGGCACGAGATCCAGGAGGCCTGTCTGCGCGTCGATGCGATGGGCGCGGTGTATTAAAAAGTGGCTGAATAGGTCCAGCTCACTCTCTTCCGCATAAAGAGGATGCACTACGGGCGGCAGATCCAGCGCATGTCTCCTCTTCTTCGCCCTTGAATTCGACAGTTGTTCCACCGATGTTATGTCTAGCGATGCCCCCGGGTTCTCACCGGGAGACCGCGATCCAGTCGCCAGATCATGGAGATATTCGTAGTACGACGCCGGGTCGCTCTCTTCGGGGAGGTAGTTGAGGAGGATACTGAGGGTCAGCTCAAGCGGCAGATCCCCGTCTCGCAGTGCTGTCAGCGCCCGCAGCGCTAGGATGTTGGATTCGGTGGCATATTGTACGGCGAGCAGAACGCAATGTGGCTGCGACAGTTGCGACAGCTTCTGCAGGGCGGCCATATCAGGGGTTTGCGGGCTGCTATGGGGATTCGACTTCCATACTGGACGTGGAACTTGGAAAGGCCACGCCCGCAATGCGACAATTCGCTACGTCAACCGCCAAGCCCCGCCCTCGGGGGTCCGCTCTCAGGCAGCCTTCACCATCCATCACGACACCACACAACATTACGTTGGTCTAAGATGTGCTTGATCAACACCGCTCAGTAGAGCTCATCATACGAGTAGCAGAGACTACCAATGTCCATCACATCGCTAATATTCGCATCCCAGCCATTATACCCCAGCGAAAGCGGAAAGTCCAGCGTCACATTGCCGCCCTGCGCGTTGTCCCAATCTTGCAGAACCATCGGCCCAGATATGTCGCGCAATCTATTCCCCGGGTCCCTCGCCTGCCATGACCACCAAACGCGGTCCAGATTGGCATGATGGAGCCAGAAGATGGGGTCGGCAGGCGATGTGAACGGATCGCCCATCTGGCCATAGGTGCCACCAACACCAAAACTGAGAAGACGACGTTAGCATTACCGCGAGGACCCTGCAAGATAGAACACGTACTGCCCACCAGCGTGAATCTGACTATCGTCCCAGGCTGGACCACCTTCCATCGTTCGCGCGAACCATCCGTAGTCCGCCTGCGCCATGACTGTGTCCAACTTGTCTTTGCCCAGATATGTGGCGGCGTAGTCGGGCGCCAGGTCTCGCCGTAGACACTGGTCGTTTCTTGCGAGCGACGCAGCAGGGCCTAGATGAACCGTCATGTTGACGAAAGGCCCATCCTGTACGCAGCCGCCTCCAGTCCGCCCTGGCACTTCGTTGTTCGACGTGTTGACTGGCACAAGAGGGCCATTACCACCAAAGCCGTATGTTGCGTCGAATATGGGCGATTGGACGAACTTGGAAGCTGGAGTATCCAACGTCCAGTCCCAATACGGCTGTGCGTCATGATATTCACACTCCTCACGCAATATCTTCTCGTGATATGAAGTGATGAGACGATGCCACGGGAGGAAGTGACCCTTCATGGCGGTCAACATCGTTTTCAATTAGAAAATGCCGCACCTACCACGAAATGTATGGACATTGTCTGGTTGATGTGTGTCGCAACAAGATCATCATATCGCGAAAGCGCACCTGGTGCAGCAGAAGTAGGAGTTACCGCCGGCTTTTCCAAAAGACATTGTACCGCAGCGATGTACTGCAGTTTCTCTGCATTGTCAAGAGATCGCCTAACAGGTTCGTAAGCTCCTACCTGTCTTACTTACTTTCTTCAAGGGCGGCATACCATTCTTTCCGTATTATGGGACTGCGACAGCTCGCGGGTCTTGCAGCAACTATGAAGCAGAATGCTTCCACGAAGAACGCCAATGCAAGAAGGAGTCGCATGTTACCAGCGAGCGGCGATGAGAAGTCTTGCAAGAAAACACGCTACCAGACGAGACTGTCCTCGTATATACATATTTCGACGCTCACTCAGCTGAACTTCATATACGAACTTGTGCGACGCTTTCATATAAACCAATCCAATGATGTTCCCTCGACTGAGGCTTGAGTATGCACGTCGAACCACCCAATTACCCGGTCATAAGACATGATGTCCGGGACAGCACGCAATCACGTTTTTGCGCAGCAAATTCGAACAGGAAGCATTTCGTGCTTGCGCACTTCAATATTGCCGTCGTTGTTTGCTCGTGCGAAATCTGAATTTGACCATGATTGAAACGGATGGATTAGGCCACACAAGGTGAAGGTTTTCTATATATTGTTACTGCATATATCTAGGTACGTTAATGTATAAGTAGTTTCAACTCCGCCAGCGGGAATTAATGGCGGACAGATATCTACTCGCAGTATCCCATAAGCTCCTAGACATCTTACAGTTCTTGGCTTTTAGAACACTCGCCACGTTGACTCCAGTCAAATTCAGGCATATCTGCGTGCTGCCGTAGGCCTGTACCGAGGTGCCAAGTGCCTGATCGACAGCGTTGCAAGCCCCTAGCCTAGCGTCCCCATCGTCCGACAACGCCTCCAACAACACCAACCACGACCTCTCCTCCCCAAGCTTAAGAGCGACAACCTCTGCGCTTTTCCTCACCAGAGACATCCCGCCATGAGATGCGACTGTTCATCACGCGTTGATAGTATCTAAAAACACGTTCAATCGAAACAGCAAAAGGATGGGTTGCTAGAGATTCTGGAAGCAACGGCAGTTCGCTTGCACACACCCTCGCCAAGCCAACATCAAACATGCAGCGTTTCCAGCACCGAAACAAATCTGTAGCAGCACAATATGTCGGCCCAGTCCTTGGAGTTGCAGATCAAGCTTTGAATGCCTGAGCTTGGGATAATTACTTAGATCGATGGCTGCCTGGCCTCTTTCTTGACCTCCACATCCTCTTACTCTCCTTGTTGCTTGTACATTCTTGATACCCTGGTTCGGTCCATTCTTTGCGCGTGCGCACGTTACAATCTTTATTACATACTCATTCTTTTGCTATATTCACCCAAAATCTCCATCTCAACCAGAAATCATGTACATCGATACTGCGTCAGCGAACAGTCGGTCCTCGAGGCCTCAGATCACCATCGAGCCATCGCCGTATAATGACCGCTCGACACCGCTTATGGAGGCTTTTGTGGGACAAGAGGCTGGGACGGATGAGAGGCCGCCGCCTACTTACCTCGAAGCTACTACACCTGGTCTTTACACGAGTCGATTGAGTGGCGAAGAAGGCGCCAGGCTGCTCTCCTTTGATGGACGAGAAGCCCGCGATGCGAGTTACAAGGAAGAGCAGTACGGAAGACGGAGTCTTAGGTCGCAATGCCTCAAGAAGACATGGTTGAAGGTGGTCGGCACGGTACTTGCCATGATGCTCGTGTCTGCTATGTTGGCCCTCATGGTTGCTGCGGTATCAGTCCGAAGGGATAGACAGGTTAGTAGATATTTCCAAAGATCTACTTTATCATACTAACATACCCATCAAGAACTCTGCCACTACCTCTCTATCTTCAGCGCAGTCCGCACAGGGTGACGCCGCCCACCCCGAGGGCTTCATCGACGACGACTCCGACAAGCCCAGTCTCATCGCCGTCCCATGGCCCTCACCATCCGCCGCAGCGCCACCCACAGCACCCAAACAATCCTTCCCAATTCGATGGCCATCCAAGTGCGGAAAAGACTACAATGTCCGAACCGAACACCACGACTTTGGTCAAACAAGCGAGCTCAGCATCCAAGAAGCCGTCCACCAACTCGACGGACCATACAGAAGAGTAGCAGGCTGGATACACGTCGCAACCGCCCCTCCGGAGCAAGCCCCCGGTACCATCCAAGTAAAGACATCCTACGCCGTATCCGCCTCCGTCGACGTCAACGCCGTCCGATACGCCTCCACAGACAACAGCCTCACAATCGGCGACCCCTCCTTCCCCGACGGCTTCGACGGCGTGCGCCCCGGAAAGGCCTGCCTGGGCATGTCCGTAGTAATCTACATGGCCCCCGGCGCCACCTTGTCCAAACTGCACATCGCAACCACGCACATGGGCATGCAAATCCACTCTGGAACAAATTTCACCGTCACAGACTCAACCTCCATCTCCCTGACCACCGGCACCCTAGATGCCATCGCCTTCTCCTCGCGCCAAACATACCTTTCCACCATTTCTGGCTCCATCTCCGGCGCCTACGCCCTCTCCGACCTCCTTTCCGTTAAGACAAAGAGCGGCTCCGTGAACATCGACATCGAGCCCCAGCCTGCCGCAGAAGGCTCCACGAACCCCGCTGTCTTCAGCGTGGATTCGCTCTCGGGTAGTATCCGCACGGATTTCAAACGCAAACACATCCCTGAGCGCGACTACCAAACCTACATCAACACAACTGTCGGTTCTGTCGACGGCACGTTCATCCACGGGTCGCGCACGGAGATTAATAGCGTGGCTGGCCTTGTTACGGCTGATCTTCTGCCGTTTAAATCTGGGGATTACCAGAGCGAGATCTACACGCACACGCACTCGGGCCAAACATCTCTCACGCTGCGCTCACCGTACAAGGCGAAGGGCGTGGCTATGTCTGGGCTGGTGAGTACGCATAAGAGCACGAGCGGTGGGTTGGATGTCACATACCCCGAGGAATGGACGGGGAGTGTAGATGGCACGAGTTTGAGTGGTGCGCTGCATTTGCAGGGCAAGGAGTTGGAACTTTTGGGCGAGAACGATGAGCCGGGGAAGAATCATGTGGAGGCGAAGAAGGGGGATGGGAAGAGTAGTTTGAGCTTCGATACTGTGTCTGGGGGGTGTGAGGTTAAAGTTGGAAAGCTCTAGATCGCACGATATAGCTTTGGCTTTGGTGTTGGGGGTTAGATGGTATTTCACGTAGATGGAAGACATCACGATACATTCTACTTGCTGCCCAACATCCCTCTCTCTCGTCAACTCAGACACGCCGTCCCCTCAGTCGTGCACGCGTTCAAACCTACACTAACTATCTATTTGACTATGCAACAGCTTAACGTTTTCCGCGATAGTAGTGTCGTGATGAGTTGTCGTCCGCGCGTCCCGCTCCCGCCAGCACCTCCCTGCCAGCCCTGTCAAAACCACTGTCTCGGCGCACATGGATGACCCCCGTTCCTTCACTTATGTTGTACACGTCGATCCTAGCTACGGGGTCTTTAGGGCAGTAGGGCTGAAAGATGTGCGGTTGGGTTCGGGGGAGTTGCGACGTAGCTGCGCTACACTGCGACCGGGTGTGTTGGGTTGATTGAGAGTGTCATGTGTCGTTCGGGGTGTGGGTGAAGGCTACGTCATGGTGTAAGGCTGAGTTTTGTGAGAGATGATTGCAGGGTTTGGGGGTGTTCGTGGGGTGGTGGTAAGGTGCAGGGACTGGGTTGGTGGTGAGTTGGTGTCTTGGTTGTGTTGCGATACGCTGAGGCGGATGCGCTGTGGAACGTGTTGTGATAACAGATCTAGATATGAAATGTGGCCATCTCGAACAACATTGTCTATGACGTGTTCGAGGGGTCGCTGCAGAATCGTTTCGTACGAACCTAGCTTTTGCATGCAGAATCTGCAGTGCACGGGTGGTGTGGTCTCATATGGCACATAAGATATGTGGTCGTGATATGATGCTGATGATCCCCAGGTGGTAAAGCAGGGTCTCCTCTTTGGGACGATCGACGCCGCATAGGCACACTGCCTGGGCGACAGGATTCCCGTTTGCGACAATCCCAAGTATGTCTGTTGTTGGCCGAGAAGTACCGGACAGATCTTGACCTGAAAGACGTGAAGCTTTGGAGTTGCCATTGGCACCAGGGGGCAAGTCAATATTTACTACTAATCGCATAATGGCAGCGGCGATCTGTAGCGATTTCGAGTTCATGAGAATTGAAATCATTCATAATCGGCCTTTTATGCTCTTTTCGAGCCACGATGCTTACTGCTTGGGGTTGTTCCTTGTGGCGCATCATCTTGAACGATCCCGCACGGCACCCGAGGCAGGGCTGTGGGAGTTCATGCTTCGGAATTCGAACTCTGTGAAGATTGCAGGTAGCCTGGGTTCTCAAGTTCCGGTGGTAATTGTGCCCTGTTGACAAATGTGCGTTTGGGTTGGTGGTGGTACAAGACTGAGGCATGCATCGTAACGAAGCCACGAACCAGGGCAAGATTGCGAACCACTCCGCGGCCTCGTGATCTGAAGTTATTCCTCCATGCGTACAAGGCCAAGTCCTGGAAATATTGAATTCAATCAACGACGTCTTGTAACGTTCAGACTAGCAGGTAATTTGGCGATCGGCCGCTGTCACTTGTCAACATGACTCAATGACGTGCAGAAGCTTGATAACCGTTGCACCGTGCTAACTACACACGACGGACGACAGACGAGAGGATGTTCCGCTGGCGCAAAGATGGCGCCATTCCGGGCAGAACGGAATGAAGTGGCTTCGCTTCGGTCATGGGCAGTTGACGATGCCACTGCTCGGCGATAACGCGGTGCGTCCGCGCAGTGAATAGCTGAATACGTCGACTTCAC